CCCCCCTTTCCTCTCCCCACTTGTAACCACTAGTTTTTTCTCTATATCTGAGTCTCTTTCTTGCGGGCCTCTCACTGTTGTGGCCTCTCCCGTTGCGGAGCACAGGCTCCGGACACGCAGGCTCAGCAGCCATGGCTCACGGGCCCAGCCTCTCCACAGCATGTGGGATCTTCCCGGACCAGGGCACGAACCCGTGTCCCCCGCATCAGCAGGCAGACTCTCAACCACTGCGCCACCAGGGAAGCCCCCCCTTTTTTTCTTTTTATAAATTTATTTATTTACTTTTGGCTGTGTTGGGTCTTCGTTGCTGCACGCGGGCTTCCTCTAGTTGTGGCGAGCGGGGGCTACTCTTCGTTGCGGTGTGTGTGCCTCTCATTGCGGTGGCTTCTCTTGTTGCGAAGCACAGGCCCTAGAGCGTGGGCTTCAGTAGTTGTGGCTCGCGGGTTCTAGAGCACAGGCTCAGTAGTTGTGGCGCATGGACTTAGTTGCTCCGCGGCATGTGGGATCTTCCTGGACCAGGGCTTGAACCTGTGTCCCCTGCTTTGGCAGGCGGATTCTTAACCACTGCACCACCAGTGAAGTCCCCCGAGTCTCTTTCTTTTTTCTTGTATTCACTAGTTTATTTTTTAGATTCCATATATAAGTGATATCATACAGTATTTGTTTTTCTCTGACTTATTTCACTTAGCATAATACCCTCCAAGTCCATCCATATTATTGCAAATTGCAAAATTTCATTCTTTTTTATGCCTGGGTCATATTCCATTGTATACATATACCCCATCTTCTTTATCCATTTATCTGTTGCTGGATAATTAGGTTGCGTCCATTTCTTGGCTATTGTAAATAATGCTGTGATGAACGTTGGGGTGCATGTACCTTCTTGAATTAGTGTTTTCGTTTTTTTTCGGATATACAGCCCGGAGTTTTAATTTGTAAAATAGGAGTAAGACCACCTCATTGGGTTTTTGTAAGAATTAGAAATAATAAATGTGCAGTGCCTGCCACATACAGGGAAGAGTAAATGGTAGTTATTATCATCCTATTAGATGCTAGGTGGCAGCAACTAGAAGAGTAAACCTACCTAGAAGAATAACTTCTGTGAGTTGCTTAAACTTTTATAATTTTATAAATGCACAGCCATGAATCTCACAGACAGAGAATCTGCTCCTGGCAAACAAATCAGCTTATTCATCATATACTTATTTAGTGCCTACTCTGTGCCTGGGACCACACTGGACACTTGAGGAGAAAGAGGTGAACAGCTCTGTCCTCATGGAGTTTACTGCCTCCTGCAGGGAGATAGTGGAAACTGAACAAATATCTAGTTCCAACTGAGAAGGAAATTAGCAGGGCACTGTGATGGAGAATAGGGAAGTGAGCACCTGCAGAGGGGGTGTGGGGAGAAGGCCTTACTTGCAGGATGAGAAGGAGCCAGTTAGGAGAAGAGAGTTGCTGGGGAAAGGTCATTCCAGGCACAGACACAGAATTTAGAGCGGGAGGTGAACAGCTCCAGTTGGCAGGAGAATATAATGGGAAAGCTTTAAAGGTTTTAAGGAGGGGAGTAAATGGTTCAGATTATGTTTTAAGAGCTCACTCGCTGGGTGCTGTGTGGAGAATGGATTGGAGGTGGGTCAAGAGAAGCAGCAGGGAGACCAGTTAGAAGGCTCCTGGACTGATCCAGGGGAAGGACGATGGTGGCTTGGACCAAGGCAGACTTAGAAGGCATGCAGAAAAGTAGAAGAATTTGAGAAATATGTTGGAGGCAGTAATTAATTGTATGGAGTAGGTTTGGAAGAGGAGGAATCCAGAAGGACCCTGGGCAAACCTGTCAGATGGGTAGACGGTGGGACCATGTTCTGTAGTGGTTAAAAACTGTACAAGGAATAAGGGAGTTTGGGTGGCTGAATAGAGGGAATTAAGAATTCTGCTTGGTCTAGCATGCCTCCAAGAGGGCAAGAAGGCAGCTGGAGCTCACCAGAGAGCCCTGACCTGGAGATGTAAATCCTGCAATTTTTGACAACCTCCCTTTAAGATAGAATGAGAGTCCCTAAATCCATCTTCTCTGTGATGTATTATTTTTCACATCTCAATGCATATATCGTTAACAGTAGAGGAAAGCGGAAACTGGAGCTTTCCAGTTTCACACATTTCAACAAAAGAAACAAAATTACCAGGCTTTGGGGGAGGGAAGGAAGCTGAGGCAGGACCCCACAGTGACAGAAACTGTTAGCATAAGTTGAAATGGCGGTTAATTAGGAATTCAGTTGAAACATCTTATTAAACACAGGTTGCTAAGCAACAGTGGCCACCTGAAACAGTGTGGCTGTTCCTTCTGCAGTGGAGCTCCTGGGCCTTGGGTCTGAGCTGTTGCAAAGTTACGTTTTTTGGCTGGTCTGAGCCATGCCTTTACACACAACCTCATATACTCCCTTCTTTTGGGGGGGCGTCCCTCTGTGAGTCACTGTCCCTGTCTCTCTGGGATCATTAATCTCTGTCAGATCCCAGTTAACAGCACAAATGTGCTCATATGTCACCCATTCTATACAAATAAATCCCTTGAAATCACCTCCTCTGTCCCTGGCCACGGTGCTATTCCACCCCCCAACGTCTTGAAAGAATTGTCTGCACACACTACCTCCACTTCGTCTTCTCCTCACTTCGACACCTGTCCCCACACTCCACCAAAAGCACTCTGGCAAGTTCAAGTACAGCTTCTCTGATGTAGAGCCACATCTTTCTTCTTTCAGTGGCATTTGACATAACCGATGACTCCATGCTTCCTGAAACACTGTCCTTTCTGGGTCCCTCTTGGTTTTCCTCCTGCCCCTCTGGCCAATCCTCTCTCCTTTGCAGGGCCTTCCTCTTCTACCTCAACCCTAAGGAATGGTGATCTCCAGGGCTCTGTCCTGGACCTGCTGCTTTTCTCTTTACTTCTCACTGAAGGTGATGTCTTTCATTCTTTTTTAAATTTATTTAATTTATTTTTGGCTGCATTGGGTCTTCCTTGCTGCGTGCGGGTTTTCTCTAGCTGCGGAGAGTGGGCGCCACTCTTTGTTGTCGTGCCCGGGCCTCTCATTGCCGTGGCTTCTCTTGTTGTGGAGCACGGGCTCTAAGTGCGTGGGCTTCAGTAGTTGTGGCACACGAGCTCAGTAGCTGTGGCTCGTGGGTTCTAGAGCGCAGGCTCTGTAGTTGTGGTGCATGGGCTTAGTTGCTCTGCGGCACGTGGGATCTGCCAGGACCAGGGCTCGAACCCATCTCCCCTGCATTGGCAGGCGGATGCTTAACAATTGCGCCACCAGGGAAGCCTGATGTCTTTCATTCTTAATGCTGTAAATGCCATTCATATGCACCGGATTCCAATCTTCAGCCTGTGTGTTTGTCCTCTGAGTTGCAGACTCATATCCATCTGTAGAGATAACTTACATCGTAAACTGCAAAACAGAACACTTTATTCCCTTACCCCAAACCTATTTCTCTTCTAGTTTTCCCCATTTCAGTACTCAGCACCATCAGCCACTCAGGAACTTCCTCTTGATTCCCCCATCTTTATCGCTTACTTTCAATCCGTCAGCAAATCCCTATAATTCTCCAAAACCTATCTCAGATATTTCCTCTTCTTTCTATCCCTACTGCCACCCCTTAAACCCAGACCACTATCATCCCTGCTCTGGATTTCACTGAAGCCTCCTAGCTGGTCTCTCTTAACCTATCCTGTAAATTGGATTAACTCCTCTGCACCAGTGCTGTGCAGGCTGGGTGCTCGTTTCCATATCATACCACACCTGTCGGGCCTTCCCCCAGTTATTTCATAAGATCTTTGGGGAGAGGGCAGGACGACTCATGTTGAGCTTAGAGAGATAGGGAAGAGCCAGAGTAAGAGTTATTTATCTTTTTTTTTTTTTTTCCTTGCGGTACGCGGGCCTCTCACTGCTGTGGCCTCTCCCGTCGCGGAGCACAGGCTCCGGACGCACAAGCTCAGCGGCCACGGCTCACAGGCCCAGCCGCTCCGCGGCATATGGGATCTTCCAGGACCGGGGCACGAACCCGTGTCCCCTGCATCGGCAGGCGGACTCTCAACCACTGCGCCACCAGGGAAGCCCTATTTATCTTTTCTTAATAGAGAAAAATGTTTTCTTCTTTCTTCCTTTTTTTTTAAAATTTATTTATTTTTGGCTGCGTTAGGTCTTCGTTGCTGCTCGTGGGCTTTCTCTAGTTGCGGCGAGCAGGGGCTACTCTTCGTTGCGGTGCGCGGGCTTCTCATTGCAGTGGCTTGTCTTGTTGCCGAGCACGGGCTCTAGGTGCGTGGGCTTGTGGCACACGGGCTCTACAGCGCAGGCTCAGTAGTTGTGGCGCACGGGCTTAGTTGCTCCGGGCATGTGGTCTCTTCCCTGACCAGGGCTCAAACCCGAGTCCCCTGCATTGGCACCAGGGAAGCCCCCAGAGTTAAGAGTTATTTGTTCAAATGATTTACTGCGTGCCTACTGTGCTCTGGACACAACAGCAAACGGGAGGACGGCACAGTTCCTGCCCTCTTGGAGCTTCCATTCCAACATAATCCAAAGGAAAGGAGACCAACGCTTTCCGGCCCCGACAAGCGGGGGGCATGGTGCTAACCGCTTTGACACCCGGTCGGCCACCTATGACTCGGGGAAGGCCTCAGCTCTTCGCTTCATCTGCAAAATGGGATGATAACGGTTAGCTCCTGACTCTCTGGTGCTCCCCGGGTGGTAGGGGGTGGGGATACCGCCTAAGTGAAAGGGGATCGCAATAACTGCCCCGCCTCCATCCCCAGAGGGGCAGGGCGGGCCAGTGGGTCACGTGGCCGGGCGGCGCTCGCCGGTTCCCAGCGCCAACCGCTGGCCACCCCGCCCCGCCCCGCCCCGGGGCACGCCCCCCACGCCCGGCGCGCGGCCCCCGCCTCCATCACCCCGCCCCCGCCGCCCGTCGGCTGGAATCCTGCAGCTCGTACCCGTGCAAGCCCGGCTGGTGCGGGGAGCAGCGGCGCGGGCTCGCTGGGACCGCTGAACAGCGGGGTCCAGTCTGGGGGCGTCAGTGACCGCCGTGTAGGGTGGGGGCGCTGGGGTCGACGGGAGAACTACTGAGTTGGGGGCTACAGAGCTGGGATGTCCGCCCCCGGGCTGCGCCCAGCGTGGGGGGAGGGGGCGGCGCGACTCCCCCCCTACCCCCTTTGGCTTGGGCTGAGGGGAGGGGCTGCGCTCGGCCAGAGCAATGAGCACAGTGCCTGGCGCGCAGCGAGCCCTCAAACTATCCCGGCCTTGATTGCAACTCCAGCGCGGGGAGAAAACAGGAAAGGGAGTGATAACTGGGCTGACAGAGGCTAACTGCCATTATTAAGCATCCAGGCTGGCCAGGCGCCGTCACCACCCTTTCCTTCCCGCGGTGGCAGCCTTGGCACACAGGGCGCACGTGTGTCCTAGGATTGTGAAAGAGGCAGAGCTGGGATGCGAACCTGGGCCATTTGGCTCTTGCCGGCTGCGCTAGGCTGAGGAAAACGCGTTCTTGAACCAGCCTTTGAAGATTGAGAAGGTTTGATGGGTGGAGATAACTGAGCGAGCTCTGCCCCAGTTCGCTGTAAGACCTTGGGAAGTCGTTTGATCTTTGAGGGCCATACTTTCCTCCGACGTGAAAATAGCTGGACTTACGAAGACTGAGAACTAATATGTGAGTAGTGCTTTGCAAAGTGTAGAGCACTTTCAAATACGTTGTCATAGATAACGCCTCACAATTAACCCACCAAGGGAGTGTTTTTATTAGCCTCCCTTTATCAATAGATGGAGAAATTGTGTCCTAGAGAAGTTTATAAGATCAAGGAGCAGGGGCAGAGCATTAATGTTGAATAAATCAAAGGCTTGTAGGATAACTGCCTTGGATGAGCATAAAACTCTGAAACTGAAACATCCTGTGAGCTCACCGGAGCTCCTAGCTGTTAGTTTAAAACAATACTTTGGCTGGGTCTGCTTGCCCCTTCCCAACTCCCAACAACTGTGTCCCAGCAACCCAGATCACCAGGCCGCAGCAGTTTTAACTCTTATTAATTTTTAAATGGTTCCTGGTTTGGGTTGGACCAGCTACGAGGAGTCCTTTAGGCAAAGTCAAAACTGGGAAGTAGTCGGATAGGGGGTTGCCTGAATTCTGAAAATTCCAACTGAATGTTTTGGGTTTTCTGAGCAACAATTATTTTGAGGGCATTGGTGATACATAATAATTTGTGTCCTTCCTATTGACAGGTTCACCTTCTAGCAAATTACTGGAAGGAACATGAGAAATGTAAGTAGGGGTTTTGAAATCTCAGTTAAAGGAACTGAAACTGTTTATTTGTAGAATAATGGCAGTTAATTTGGTGATACCATTTCTAGGGGTACAGTAAATTGGCAGGCGCTTATCAAATGCCCATTTTTGAGGGGGTGTATTTACTAATACATGCAGTGAGGTCTAGGCAGGTGGCAGTCCGTCACCACAGACACTGACAGGTACCCTGAGAGATGCTATTTTTGTTCAGTCCCCATTGGCCTGTGAAAGGGAAGAGGGGCCAGGTGTTTTCTACTTCTGTGATGTGTGTCAGGTGTTTTCTGGGCTAGGTCTTATCACCTATCATATAACCTTGTTTTTCCTCACAACAAACTTAAAAGGCAGGAGGGTTTTTTTTTATCCTTTTAGAAATGAGAGTGAAGCTTAGGAAAGTTAAGTAAACCAGCCCTCTTGGTGCCAAAAAAACTTTTCACTAAACCACACTTTTCCCATTGTTGATCGATCCAGGTTCAGAGTCTGTGAATATTTAATGAAAAGCTACTCTTGCCAGGTGCCTTTGAGTATTTTATTGAATCCTCATGACAACCCACCATGCTTTTTGCTATTTCAGCTGATCACCTTAAAATCAACTAGGAAGCCTTAAAAAAAAAAAAAAGCCCAACCACTCCTACAGGGCAGGAGATAAGCATTTATAAATCCATGGTGATGTTGTAGTCCCTCTTTCTAAATATAATGTGGTGCTCTGGAGACGCCAACAGCAGTAATTCCTTTAATACAATCCTGACATCTCAAAAGGGGTGGTGCAAAACAGAGTGAATTGCAAGAGCACATTCTTCCACTGACAACAATTAAATCTGAAAATGTCACTGGTTTCCTGTGATAAGTGCACTCAATATTGATTAGTGGGACTAACCACTGATCTGACACTTGGACCAATTAGGTGTTACTTATGAAAAAACATCTGGTGGAGATTCCAGCATGTCCAGTAAGAAAGGTGATTGGTAGTTTGTTAAAAGGCCTTTGCCTTCAGGTGCTTAAATCTGAGCATTGAGGGAAATAGTGACAGAGGCAGCCTTCAGTCTTTTTTAAAAATTTTTGGCTGCGTTGGGTCTTCGTTGCTGTGCGCAGGCTTTCTCTAGTTGCGGTGAGCAGGGGCTACTCTTTGTTGTGGTGCGCGGGCTTCTCATTGCAGTGGCTTCTCTTGTTGCAGAGCACGGTCTCTAGGTGCGCAGGCTTCAGTAGTTGTGGCTCGCAGGTTCTAGAGCGCAGGCTCAGTAGTTGTGGTGCATGGGCTTAGTTGCTCCGCGGCATGTGGGATCTTCCCGGCCCAGGGCTCGAACCCGTGTCCCCTGCGTTGGCAGGCGGATTCTTAACCACTGGGCCACCAGGGAAGTCCCAGCCTTCAGTCTTAACCCTCCTCGAACCAACCTCCACAACTCAGAGGTTGTTTTAAAAATATAAATCTGATCAGGTCATTTTTTTTTCTGCCTTTACTGGAAAGGCACATATTTCTGTTGTTGTTTTTATTCATCCCAGACTTAAAAAAATTTTTTTTATTGAAATATAATTGATTTACAATGTTGTGTTAGTTTCAAGTGTACAGCAGAGTGATTCAGTTATACACATGTATATCTATTCTTTTTTAGATTCTTTTCCGTTATAGATTATTACAAGATATTGAGTATATTTCCCTGTGCTATACAGTAGGACCTTGTTGTTTATTGGACATTTGTACAGCCAAGAAGTAGATCAGTGGTTGCCTGGGGTGGAAGTGGGAACAGGCATTGACTGCAAACAGACAGGAGGGGTCTTTTGGGGTAATTGAGATCTAAAACTGGATTGTGGGGATGGTTATACAACTCTTTAAATTTACTAAAAATCATTGAATTGTACACATAAAAGAGATGAATTTTTATAGCATGCAAATCATACTTCAATAAAACTGTTAAAAAAATAAAACCCCTTTTTTGTTCCCCATCTCTTACCCAGTCAAGGCCCTGAATGCTTGGAAGATGTCCACCCTCCAGCCTCTCCCAATGTGCCCACCATGTTCCTTGCATGTGAGCCATTCTGGGCTGATTGCAGGTCTTTGGATAAAGATTTGGTCATCTCGAGGCCTTTGCACATGCTGCCCCTCAGCTGGCCTCTCCTTTCTGTCCTTATCTGCCTGGGAAACACGTTACTCTCTTCCTTCAAGACTCAGCTTGAGCATTTCCTCTGCCAGGAAGCTTTCCCTGATTTTTGCAAGCCAAACCAAGTGACACTGCTATTATTTTAAATTAAAAATTTACACGCCTGGTACCCTCACCAAACTGAGCCTTCTAACCATGATCTGTCCATGTCTAGAGCCCAACAGGTGTGACTCATAGAAAGGTTGTTGAAGAAATACCTGTGTGGTCAAGATCACCCTTCAGAGCCTACCGTATCCACACATACAGATGGGGAGTGATCCATTTGTCTGTTCATTCGTGAACATTTAGTGCCAAAGTACTTATCTCTCTGGATTCAAAAATGATTAAGATGAGACACTAGTCCTCAAGGAGCTCCCCATCCAAGTCCTGACCCTGCTCTGTCTAAACGGAGTGGTCTCTGGCAGGTTACTTAATCTTATGTAAAATGGGTGTGGAGTAGTACCTGCAGTCACAGGTATGTTGAGAGGATTCGATGGGTTTTTACTGGTAAAGATCTTCAGGCAGAACCTGGCACAGTAAGTGCTCAGGGAATGTTAGGTAGTCCTACAGGGCGTGGTGGGCTAAGGGATCAGGGGACAGATTCCCGGGGAAGGTATCACCTGAGCTGGGTTGTGAAGAATAAGTAGAAATTACTTTTTTCTCTTTACCCTGAAGCATGTTGAGTGAAGTTTTAGATACTTTGTTAAAAAAAAAAAAGACTCTCAGCTTTATTGTTAACTGAGAAAGACATGGGGACAGACAGGCTTAAGTCATTTGTACACACACAGGCAAAGATGAAGGACTCTGACCTTGGTGGAGGTACCCATTCCCATGGTTTGCCCCAGCCTCAATTTCCTAAGAAATCCTGTAGAAAAGTGTGGTGCAAACTGGAACTTATGTGCTGAATTCAGCCTGCAAAAGTGTTTTGTTTGGCTGGTACTGTGGTTATAAAATTTTTTGAAGTAATATTTAAATGTTACAAAAAATAATCTGGATTTCCAGCTTTTCTTTTTTAAAAAGTTAGAATATATGGGGACACTGGTGCCTACACGGTGGGCAGCACTTGGCTGGGGCTGCTAGTCTTGTTTCCTTTAGACGACATTTGTCCTCTCCGGCTTGCCAGTCCCCACTGTTTACAGCATGCATGCATCTTTGCTGGCATCTGGCCACTGAAAGCATGTAAGTCTGTGACTGCTGCTGGCTTGGAAGAAACTCTTGTTATCTATATAGTGTTCATCACCGAACAGAGCTACTGCCCCGGATACCTGTCTCCTTACTTTGTGGTTTAGAATGGACAGTCTAGGGCAAAGGATTCCTAAGAAATCATTTTCTTCTCCCGGTGCCAGCCCCCTGCTGACCAAAGCCATACTTCTTCTTCTTCTTCTTCTTCTTTTTTTTTTTTTTTTTTACCACCTTTGCTTTTTTGCTAAGCACTTCAGACAGACTTACTGATTTTGGCGGTGCCTTTTGTTTTTTTGCTCACGTTTTATTTATTTATTTTTTTATTGGAGTATAGTTGATTTTCAATGTTGTGTTAGGCCATACTTACTCTTAAGCATGACCCGTCTTTCCAGGGTTTGGGAGCATGTAAAAAAAAATGGATATGGAGTAGAAGGCTTGGATCTGTTTTTCTGTTTGTATTTTTAAAAATTTATTTATTTATGGTTGAGTTGGGTCTTCGTTGCTGCATGCAGGCTTTCTCTAGCTGCGGCGAGCGGGGGCTACTCTTCGTTGTGGTGAGCGGGCTTCTCATTGCGGTGGTTTCTCTTGTTGCGGAGCACAAGAAGCTCTAGGCGTGTGGGCTTCAGTAGCTCTGGCATGCGGGCTCAGTAGTTGTGGCTCGTGGGCTCTAGAGCGCAGGCTTAGTAGTTGTGGCGCATGAGCTTAGTTGCTCTGAGGCATGTGAGATCTTCTGGGCCCAGGGATCGAACCTGTGTCCCCTGCATTGACAGGCGGATTCTCAACCACTGTGCCACCGGGGAAGTCCCTAATTTTAAAAATTTTTAAAATTCTTCTCCCGTGCCAGCGTGGCTTGCAGGATCTTAGTTCCCCGACCAGGGATTGAACCTGAGTCCCCTGCAGTGGAAGCGTTGGAGTCTTAACCACTGGATCACCAGGGAAATCCCCCTGTTTAAAATTTTTATTATTAATTTTGCTATCTCTTTATTTTTCTGATTTTCAAACAATACATAAAAATACATAAAATGGAAATTTAGCCCCCCTCAAAATCTGTCCCCCCACACCCCATAATCACTATTAGCGGTCTGCTATATTTTTTGCACTTTTTTTTTTTTTTTTTTGCGGTACGCGGGCCTCTGACTGTTGTGGCCTCTCCCGTTGCGGAGCACAGGCTCCGGACGCGCAGGCTCAGTGGCCATGGCTCACAGGCCCAACTGCTCCGCGGCCCAGACCGGGGCGCGAACCCGTGTCCTCTGCATCAGCAGGCGGACTCTCAACCACTGCGCCACCAAGGAAGCCCATTTTTTGCACTTTTTAAAAGCTACTCTGCACTGCGTGCTCGATGGATGCCAGGCTCTTGACTGAGCTCATTACGTACGTCTCTTTTGCTCTTTGCAGCAACCCTGTGAGGTTATTATCATTCCATTTTACAGATGAAGACACAGATGAAGACCTAAGATGAGTCTTAGGTTAAGTAATGTATTCAGGGTCGCACAGTGAGGGTGCAGTGGGAGCATCCTCACTGTGTGTGTTCCAACACATTTCTTTCCAGTTCCAGAGCCGTTTTTCCTAACCATCTCAGGGTGAAGCCTCCCTAAGAAGACCACCAACTAGGAACTAAACATACTCCCCTGGAGAAGTGTATTCATAAAAGTCTCCTCCTTCTGCATTGTTCTCCATTCATTAGATGTTTCCTGAATGGTGCTGTGCAGGGGTTTCAGAGGTGCTCTCGGTGCCTGCCCTCTGCGACTTCACAGGTGAAGGTTATAGATCAATCAGTGAAGTATTGGAATTATGTGCAATTTACAGTAGTAATAGAGAGGAGAGAACAGTTCTTGGTGGATGGGAAGGGAGGTGTCAGGATAAGTGATACTTAAGCTGTGTCTTGACAGATGAGTTATTGTTTAACAGGTACATGGGGGTAAGAATACTTTGGCATAGACAAAAGCACGATAAGTTGGAACAGTGGTTTATTTGGTGAACTGAAATAATATAGCATGGCTGTAGGCTAGGTCATGGGGAGGCAGGCAGCGTGCCGAGTGTGCAGGGCCTTTGGGTGTTGTTCTAAGACTTTGGGGTTTTGTCTGTAGGCAGGGGAGCCATTGCAGTGATTCTGAAAGGGGAGTGACATGACTGGTTTATGTCCGAGGTAAAGTCCTACAGCAGAGTGAGGATGGATTGGAGCAGGTGCAGCTGGAGGCAGGGAGGCCAGGCAAAGAACAGTTGCAGTTGGTTCATCGGAATAAGTGTGGAGATGTCCAGTAACTGAGCGCAGTGATAACCGCTGACATTCACTGAGCTCTTGCTGTGTGGTCAGATTCTGTGCGAAGTGCTCTGACTGGGTTCTCTCATTTAACTTCCACCGCTCCGCCTAAGCCCAAGTGTTGTTGTCCATCCCCCTTCTCCAGGGGAGGAAGCTGTGAAGATGGCTGGTATAAGGTCACACAGTGGCTGAGTGGTGGAGCCAGAATTCAGATCCACGACTGTCAGAATCTAAAGCCCTAAGGCTGCAAATCTGAACCTAAGCTGCAAATGTCAACACCTGTGACTAGTACGAGGCCGACTGTCCTGAGCTTTGTACAGCAGGACCTTTGTGTGAAGTGCAGGTCTAGTTGATTCTACATCTAAGACACATCCCAGATCTGTCCTCTTACGTCTGTCCCTCCCCTCAGATGAAGTCACCCTCATTTCTTGCCTGAAGTCCTATAGTAGACTCTTTTCCCTAAAACCTATTCTTACAACTGCCAGACAGATCTGTTTAAAAAGTAAGTCGGAAAAAAAAAAAAAAAAAGTCAAACCACACCGCTTTCCTCATTTAATCACCCCCTTGCTCCTCATCAGTCTTTTTTTAAAAAAATATTTATTTATTTATGTATTTTGTCTGTGCTGGGTCTTAGTTGCGGCATGCGGGATCTTTGTTGGGGCATGCAGACGTCTTGGTTGCAGCATGCAAACTCTTTTTTTTATTTTTATTTATTTAATTTTTTTTGCGGTACATGGGCCTCTCACTGCTGTGGCCTCTCCCGTCGCGGAGCACGGGCTCCGGACACGCAGGCTCCGCGGCCATGGCTCACGGGCCCAGCCGCTCCGCGGCATGTGGGATCTTCCCGGACCGGGGCACGAACCCATGTCCCCTGCATCGGCAGGCGGACCCTCAACCGCTGCGCCACCAGGGAAGCCCAGCATGCAAACTCTTAGTTGCGGTATGCACGCGGGATCTAGTTCCCTGACCTGGGATGGAACCGGGGCCCCCTGCCTTGGGAGCGTGGTGTCTTAACCACTGGACCACTGGAGAAGTCCCTCTCATTACTCTGAAATAAACTCTGATTCCTTACCCTGCTGACCTGTAAGGGCCTCTCCGTGATCTGTCAGCTGCCTGCCTTGCCAGCTTCACTCTGCATCATTCTCTCCCTCTCTCACTGAATTCCAGCCCTACTGACCTTCTTTCTGTCGCTGGAACATGCCAGATCTGTTCCTTTGGGAATTTGCTTTTGTTCTTTCTTTCTAGAATGTTCTTTTCCTGGATATTCTCATGTCTGGCTCCTTCTTACCATTTAGGTCTTAGTTTATTTTATTTCTTAAAGCAAATTTATTTTCACTACTGGCTTGTTTATTTTTTATTTTAATTAGTTAATTAATTTTGGCCACACTGCACGGCTTGTGGGATCTTAGTTCCCTGACCAGGGATTGAACCTGGGCCCCTGGCAGTGAGAGTGCACAGTCCTAACCACTGGATCACCAGGGAATTCCCCTAGGTCTCAGTTTAAATGTTATCTCCTCAGAAGGGCCTTTCCTGAGCCCCCAGGGTAAAGTAGTTCATGAAGCTCTCTGTCACATCCCCCTTTTTGATTTTCTTCATTGAACTTACCACAATGTAATATTCAGTGTTTGTTTTCTGTCTCCTTCCACTAGGATGAAAGTTCCCTGAGGTGTAATAGCTAAAACTTATAGACTACTTACTCTTGTTAGGCACTGTTATAAGGGCTGTAATATATTAAGTTTTTAAATCCTTATAGCAGTTCTAAGAGGTGGATACCTTTATTATCCCCATTGTGCAGATAAGGAAACTGAGTCTTAGGTAGGGTAAGTAACTTGCCCAAAGTCACACAGCTACTAAGTGACAGAGCTGGAATTTGAACCCAGGCAGTCTGGCTTTAGCATCCACTCTCCTAATCGAGTGAAAGCAGGGACGTTGTCTTTCCCGCTTCTGTATCCCAACACCTTGGACATAGTGTGGCATTTAGCAGGCTCTCACTAAAAATTGTGGAATGAAAGATTGTAGTCACAATAGAAATGTAATTAATTATAAACCAAAACCTAGGAATTATCCTTGATTCTGGTCTCTCCCACTCACAGATCCATCTACAAGTTCTGACTGAACTACTTCTCGCCACAAAACATATCCCGATATGTCCACTTTTCTGCATTCCCACTGCTACCATCCCGGTCCAGTTCATGACTGGCTTTCTCCCAGACTACTCCAAAGACCTCCTAAATCACTGGCCTAGGGTGACTCTTCGACCAAATGATGGATATCTACTGAAGCAAAGAGCCAGGTGTGTGATTAGGGCAGAAATGTTTATATATGCTGAGTGAAATTTTGCTAGCTGACTTATACCCTAGCAATTACTGATTTGAGTGGGGAATATTTAAGACCCTCTGTGGTTCTGCAACTATGTGTTGAGGTGCTCTGAGGCATGGCAGGGACCTCTCAGGGGTGCTGAGGGATATTTTAAAATCTAGTGTGTTGGTTTGCCGGGCTCCCCTAACAAATTACCAGGACTGTATGGCTTCAACAACACAGTCCTGGAGGCTAGCAGTCCAAGATCAAGGTGTCAGCAAGTTTCATTTCTTCCAAAGCCTCTCTCTTTGGCTTGCAGATGGCTGTCTTCTTGCTGTACCTGAAGTGGTCTTTCTTTTGTGTGGGCATATCCGTGTTCTAATCTCCTCTTATAAGGGCACCAGTCATATTGGATTAGGACCCACCCATATGACCTCATTTTACCTTAATTACCTCCTTAATAGCCCTGTCTCCAAATACAGTCATAGTCGGAGGTCCTGGGGGTTAGGACTTCAACATGAATGAATTTGAAGAGGGGACACCATTCAGCCTGTAACACGGTGCCGCCTGATGCTGCACAGACTGCTGGCTTGAGGCAGTTTCAGCGCTGGCTCACACTGCATTCCTTCTGATAATGTCTTATATTTGCCAAGCCGAGGTTTTGGAGGTTGTTGTGATAAAAAGCAAGTACCGTGTGTAAGTCAATATGGAAGAGGAAAAGAGAGTGGGGTGTCCAGTCTGATTTCGAGGTTTGAGACAGTGTGCGGCGCCCAAAAGGCACTAAATTGTTAGGACATAAACACTTACTGAGTTTGGGGCTTCCCTGATGGCGCAGTGGTTAAGAATCTGCCTGCTAATGCAAGGGACATGGGTTGGAGCCCTGGTCCAGAAAGATCCCATATGCCGTGGAGCAACTAAACCCGTGCGCCACAACTACTGAGCCTGAGCTCTAGAGCCCGCAAGCCACAACTACTGAGCCCACGTGCCACAACTACTGAAGCCTGCGCGCCTAGAGCCCATGCTCCGCAACAAGAGAAACCACGACAATGAGAAGTCCGCGCACCGCAACGAAGAGTAGCCCCCACTCACTACAACTAAAGAAAGCTCGTGCGCAGCAATGAAGACCCAACACAGCCATAAATAAATAAATACATTTATTTTTTTAAAAAATAATGAGTTTTTTGGGGCTTATCTACTTAATGACAGAACTATTAGGTATTTCTTTAGGCCTAGCGGCATCATGAAGCAATTATTGAGTCACTAAAGGCACGTGAGTGGCGGAAATTTGGGAACCTTTACTCCAAATGAGTCAGTGGATCCCGGAGATCAAAAACACCAGCGTTAAGTTTTTAATTATACAGACTTCTCCAGGTGCTCCCCAAACCTACTGAAAAAGCATTTGGGAGTTGAGCCCAGGATCCACTGGTGTAGCCTAACCCCCTCATTAAGGCCCAGAAGGGGAAATCTCTTGCCAGAGGTCATACAGCAAGTTAGTGGTCGAGCTGGGATTAGAATCCAAATTCTAATGGAATCTGTCAGATTCTCCTCCCCTTCATCAGCATTTCTGATGTCCATACCTACAAATGTTGTCACACCATCTGCCACTTAAGCAGACATGGCCCTGACCTCAAAGGCAGATGGCAATTACATGGACAAACTCCATACTGAATACGTGAGTGTGCGTATTAAATGTTTATATCATACAAGACCTACATGAGGAAAACTACAAAACTCTGATGAAAGATACCAAAGAAGGATTAAATAGTTATTTCCTGTTTATGGATAGGAAGACTCACGATATCACGTCATGATATCAGTTCTTCCTAACGTGATCTATAGATTCAATTCAATCCCAGTCAAAATCCCACTAAGTTATTTTGTGGATATTGACAAACTCAGTCTAAAGTTTGTAGGGAGAGGCAAAAGATCCAGAATTAGCCAACTCAAAATTAAAGAACAAAGTTGGAGGACTGACACTACCCAACTTCAAGACTTCCTATAAAGCTACAGTAAATCGAGACAGCGTAGTATTGGTTCAAGAATAGACAGATCAGTGAAACAGAATGGAGAGCCCAGAAATAGACCCATATAAAAATAGTCAAATGATACTTGGCCCAAGGAGCAAAGGCAATACAATGGAGCAAAGATAGTCTTTTCAACAAATGATACTGGAACATCTGGACATCACATGCAAAAAAAAAGAATCTAGACAGACCATACACAGTTTGGAAAGATGAGCTCAAAATGGATCATAGACCTAAATGTAAAACAGAAAACTATAAAACTCCTGGAAGGGACTTCCCTGGTGGTTCAGTGGTTAAGAATCCTCCTTCCAATGCAGGGGACGTGGGTTCTATCCCTGGTCAGGGAACTAAGATCACGCGTGCCACGGGGCAACTAAGCCCATGTGCCACAACTAGAGAGGAGCCCACGCGCCGCAACGAAGAGCCCGTGCGCTGCAACGAAAGATCCCGCGTGCCACAACTAAGACTCCATGCAGCCAAAAGTAAATAAAAACAAACAAAAAAAACTCCTAGAAGATAACATAGGAGAAAATCTAGATGATCTTGGGCTTGGCAATGACTTCCAAGATATAACACCAGGGCTTCCCTGGTGGCGCGGTGGTTGAGAGTCCGCCTGCCGATGCAGGGGACACGGGTTTGTGCCCCGGTCCGGGAAGGTCCCACATGCTGCGGAGCGGCTGGGCCCATGAGCCATGGCCGCTGAGCCTGCGCTTCCGGAGCCTGTGCTCCGTGACGGGAGAGGCCCCAATAGTGAGAGGCCTGTGTACCGCAAAAAAAAAAAAAAAAAAAGATATAACACCAAAAGCATGATCCTTGAAAGAAATAACTGGTAAGCTGGGCTTCTTTAAAATTAAAAACTTCTGCGCTGTCAGGAGAATGAAAAGATAAGCCACAGGCTGGGAGAAAATATTTGTAGAAGACATATTTGATAAAGGACTGTTATCCAAATTATACAAAGGACTCTTAAAATGCAATAATAAGGAAATAACCTGATTATAAAATGAGCCAAAGATCTTAACAGACATCTCTCCAAAGAACATATACAGATAGCAAGTAAGCATATGAAGAGATGTTCCACAGCTTGTGTCACCAGGAAAATGCAAATTCAAACAATGAGATACCACTGCACACCTATTGGAATGGCTAAAATCTGGAACACTGACAACACCAAATGCTGACAAGGCTGTAGAGCAACAGGAACTTTGCTGATGGGAATGCAAAATGGTACAGCCACTTTGGAAGACAGATTGGCGGTTTCTCATAAAACTAAGCATAATCTCACCATATGATCCAGCAATTTCACTCCTTGGTATTTATACAAAGGAGTTGAAAACTTATGTTCACACACAAACCTGCACACGATGTTTATAGCAACTTTATTCATAATTGCCTAAACTTAGAAGCAACCAAGATTCCTTCAGTAGGTGAATGAACAAACTGTGGTCCATCCGGACAATGGAGTAGTGTTCAGTGCTAAAAATAAATGAGCTATCAAGCCATGAAAAGACATGGAGGAATCTTAAATGCATTTTACCTAGTGAAAGAAACCGATCTGAAAAGTCTCCATACTGTGTGATTCCACCTATATGACATTCTGGAAAAGGGAAAACTATGGAGACAATAAAAAGGTCAGTGGTTGCCAGGGGCTGGGGGGAGCGAGGGATGAGTAGACAGAGCACAGAGGATTTTTAGGGCAGTGAAAATACTCTGTATGTTACTGTAACGGTTTGTTTTTTTTTGTTTTTTTGTTTTTTTAATTTTGGCCATGCTGCATGGCTTGCGAGATCTCAGTTCCCCAACCAGGGATTGAACCTGGGCTTCTTTCACTCAGCATAACGCTTTTGAGATTCAGCCATGTCATATTTATCATAGTTTGTTCCTTCTGATTGCTGAGTAGTGATGCACTGAACGGATGGATCTCAGATTGGCTCTATACTCACCATTTGTTGGGCTGTTTCCATGGTTTGGCTATTATGAATAACGCTATCAACATTCACATGAAGGTCTAAAACTAAAAAATAAATTAAAAAATAAATAAATAAAAGGGAATCCCTTGGCAGTCCAGTAGTTAGGACTTGGCGCTTTCACTGCCGAAGGCCTGGGTTTGATCCCTGGTCAGAGAACTAAGATCCCACAAACGTGCAGCGCAGGCAAGAAATGAAAAACAAACCAAAAAACCCCAACGTTCACATGAAGGTCTTTGTGTGGACATAGGTTTTTCTGTCTGTTGGGTAAATATCTAGAAGTGGGAGTCCTGAGTGGTGTGGTAAGTGTCTTTTAGAAAGAAAGAAACTGCCGAAGTGTTGATCGCATTTTACATTCCCGCTAGCCGTGTGTGAGCGTTCCTGTTGCTCCATGTCCTTGACAGTACTTGATCTTCTCAGTCCTTTTATTTTATTATTATTTTTTTGTGGTACGCGGGCCTCTCACTGCTGTGGCCTTTCCCGTTGCGGAGCACAGGCTCCGGACGCGCAGGCCCAGCGGCCATGGCTCACGGGCCCAGCTGCTCCGCGGCATGTGGGATCTTCCCGGACCGGGGCACGAACCCATGTCCCCTGTATCGGCAGGCAGACTCTCAACCACTGCGCCACCAGGGAAGCCCCTCTTCTACTTTTGAAGGAGTTTATGTAAGATTGGTGTTTTATCTTCCTTAAATATTTGGTGTGGCTCTATATGCTGCGCGGAGACCCTCTGCACCCCTGCGAACATGGCGCTGCGAGTGGCGTGGCGCGGAGCGTGCGGGCCGCGGTCTGTAGCCTGCGCGCCATCTCTGCGCCCAACGCGCCCTGCCGCCTCGGCCCTGGGGACTGCGGGTGGGCGCCGTCCGGGCGCTGCGCACCGGCCCCGCACTGCTGTCGGGTCGTAAATTCACAGACAAACATGAATGGGTAACAACAGAAAATGGTGTTGGAACAGTGGTAATCAGCAATTTTGCACAGGAAGCTTTGGGAGATGTTGTTCACCGTAGTCTGCCTGAAGTTGGGACAAAATTGAACAAACAAGACGAATTTGGTGCTTTGGAAAGTGTGAAAGCTTCTAGTGAACTCTATTCTCCTCTCTCAGGAGAAGTAACTGAAATTAATGAAGCTCTAGCAGAAAATCCAGGACTTGTCAACAAATCTTGTTATGAAGATGGTTGGCTGATCAAGATGACACTCAGTAACCCTTCAGAACTAGATGAACTAATGAGTGAAGCAGCATATGAGAAATACATAAAATCTATTGAGGAGTGAAAATGGAACCCCTAAATAAACTAGTTTGAAACAACTTAACCTAGCATAGTTGTCTTAAATTAGTGGTGGATTTTTAAAAAGCAACTTTTAGCAAAAGAAACTGCTTGCAACAATGTTGCCTGAAAAAAATACCCCTTAACTTCCTAATGATTTCAGATAAACACTATACATCTTTTTCACAACACCCTGTGATTTTTAGGCTAGTCTCCAGTTATAATACTCAGAATTCCTGAAATTATCTGTGGTAAAACTAGTTACAAAAATTATGTAATTCAAGGATAACATTGTTATCTTAACCTTATATAATATTGTAACTTGCTTACAGCCGTCCCTGGATTTGGGTCAAAATACTCAATGAACTTGCCACTGGAAATAAATGACAGTGGAGAAAAGTTTGTTAGTTGTATAGTGTCCAGTGAAGAACATTAGTGTCTTAATTTTGCAATATACTGTGTTTGCTGGTGCTATTTTTATACAGTGAAGCAACAGCCTTGCAGGAAAATAAGAAACAGTTTAATAATAAAATATTCAACTTCTTAAAAAAAAAATTGGTGTAATCACCAATGAAGCATCTGGGCCTGGAGTTTTCGAGTGGGAAGGTTATTAATTATAAATTCAATTTCTTTATTATAGATC